CGGCGCCCCCCAGCGGCCACCTGGTGTGCGCCCCTGTCCCTGCCCTGCCCTTCCCCCACGCTGGGTCACAGCCTGACCTCCGCCAGTGACAGGAGGCTTTCCTCGTGCTGTCATCCCTGAGAGGGACAGGAAGCCCAACCCAAGCCCCCTGGTGAGCACCCAGCATCTCCAGCCAGCGCCCCCACCTCCCTGCCAGCCTGGCTGCAAAATGGGGCTCTGCCCCAGGCACTGAAAGGAAACAGATGAGCTCTTTTAAATAATGACTTGGAAGACTGCGTCCTTTTAAGCAGTATTCCCACCCGGCTGGCTAGTGATGCGATTGCTTCAGATCCGCTTGCTCAGGAAAAGTGGCCTAGGGGAAGTGTCCCGCCAAAGAGTGAGGGTGACCACCAGGCCACTGTGCGAAGGGGTCACTTTGGACATTGGGTTTCGGAGGGTGCTGGTGGCTTGGTGATGGGTCGTACCTTTAAAGAGCAGTGTTGGGAAGCCCTACCAGGAGCACAAAGCCCTAGAAAAATTCCAACCTAATTAAAGACAAGGTGAATCAAGCCGGGGTACCCTGACATATGTCAAGGGCTCTGATCTTGGGAGAGACACTGGAATAGCCATTCTGTGCTCCAACCTCTGGAAAGATGGCAGAGGAACCTTGGAAATGCTGGGTGCCCTGGGGCGAGGGGTGGCTGGCTGCTCCAAACCTGAGCCCCCCGATTGGGGGCGCTTGCCACTGCTCAGGCTGGCCAGTTTGGGCCTTGCCTGCCTGCTCTCTGGAGACTGATGGGGCCCCCAAGGGCACTGAGCTGCCCAGGGCACTGTCACCACACACACATCTCGGCAGGCCCTAGGCCCTAGGCACCCGCCCTGCTGGAAGCTGTGGACCCTTAGGAGGGTAGGAGGGAGTGGAAGAGGCCCATGGTCTCTGGAACACAGTCCACAAGCGCAGGGCTGTGATCCGGCCCTTGTGGGTTTCAGAAGGAGGCTTGGGGGAAATGTTCAGGGAGCCCAGGGGAGGCCCTGGGGACCGGAGTTGCTAGAGGTCACCGGGGAGACTTGGAGGGGACCATAAGCCCATTGGCAGAAAAAGAAACTGCCGCCGAGAGAGGAGGGACAGGCTACCAAGGTCACACAACAAGCACACACAGACAGGGTTATACTGTCAGGGGAGGTCAGCTCAGAGGACGGCGTTCTGAGGGGTTTCGGCCAGGGTTAAGGACAAGATGATGTCAGTGGTTAAAGTCTCCATTGAAGAACTGAGGAGATACCCTGGGGCAAGGGCCGCCCCCAAGGCCCCGCCTGATGTCCTCTACAGCCTGTGGCCTCCATCTCTCTGGGGTACCTGTCCTGGAAACAGCTCACAGAAGCCACAGGGGAGGCCAAGGGGACCAGCAGGATGCGGCCGGTGAGCAGCAGTGGGCTCAGGAAGGCGAGGCAGGCCCTGCTGGTGGAGTTCAGGTGGGCCCTCTGCTTCTTGATCCAGGGCGCGAAGTGGGAGAGTGGTCCCGCTGGCCACAGCCAAAGCTCCAGCTCAGCACCGCCACCTGAACCCAGGTCCTACTCACCTGGCAGGCCAGGATGCTGCTGGGGATGTCCTGCAGAGGAGGGATAGGGAGGTCTCAGGGGGCGCAAGAGGACTCCCCCAAGGACAGACTCCACCTTGAATCTGCTCTGGACACAAAAGCTCTCATCCCTTCCCTGCAAACCTCTAAGTGCAGCCATTGACCTTCTTTCCCACCGCCCTGCTTAGAGAGTGAGCTTTGGGAAACACAAACCACCTCCTTTCTCTTCCGGCAAAAATAAGCGTATGTATCAGAATAATATTTATGGTGCCACACATCAAAATGTAATAGCTGTTTTTGCTGGTAATGGTGGGTTTCTTATGATTTTTGAAGCTTTATGTTCATCTGTAATGCTGGAAATTTTTATGAGTCAGAAAAGCAACTCAGTAGATTTATCTACCTGACATACTACAAACCAAGATTCATAGGACAAAATCTAATCAAGAGTCCACAAGACACTGAAGGCAAAAAATCATAAGGATATTCTTAAGAACACAAAAGAAGACCTGCGTAGTATACAGATACACTGCTGTCCACAGAGGAGATGATATCGGTAACAAAATTTCAGCTCAGAACTGGGCTTCCTACTGAATGGAAGACAAATACTCTCACCAACCTGCTTGCTGGATGTGATAGCTGGAAGCAGGAGATTTCGAAAATGATCATTTTAAATGGATGAATGAGCTGTCGAGAAAGCAGACTCCTCTGAGCCCAAACTAAATGAGGGCTGCACCCCAGAGGGGCGAAGAAGCTGGTGCTGTGTGTCAAGGCCCTTGGCCACACCCAGAGAGACTGAGCTTCCAATGCAGCCTTGTACTTAGGTTCCAGGGACACTTAGGTGCTCCAGGCACAGCCCAGAGCCTGCCTGAGGCGGCCCTGCAGGACAGGGCACCTCCAAGGAAGGGCACACCCTGTGAGGACAATGAGATATGGCCCTGGGTGAATGTTTAGCCTGGGTTCCCACTGTCTGGGGGATTCAAGCGCCTCAGCCATGGATAGAGGTCACTTAAGGTGCTGGCCGTGTACCCTGGCACCTGGCAGCAGGTGCCTACCTTTCAAGCCACCTTTCAGGGCATCCCCAAGATCACACTGGAAAGACCACACGAGCACAAAGAATCTGAGGCCCAACAAGTCCACACACCCCCGAGAAACCAGAGTCAGAGGCTCTGAGCCTGGGGACAGGGGACCTGCCCCGTGGACCTTCCTGTGTGGAAGGCACTGCTTCTCAGGGCTGCTGGAGGTGGGGGGTTGTGTTGTTCTTTATTCTCCATGCCTATTTTATAAATAGCATTTTGTCTGTCTTCAGTATAGAGTAAAACAATTTAAAATGATAACAGGGTTCTTCCTTAAACGAATCTCTAGCAATCAAGCACTTGCAGTTGAAATTAGAGTCCTTTTTTTTTTTTTTTTTTTCAGAAGCTTGATAATTTGATTCTAGAGTAATGTTGAAGATCAGCAGCCCATGAATTAGGTCAGTTTTGAGAAAGAGGAGAAAATTGGAAGACTCAGGCTGGGGCAGGTTCAGCAAGCAGATAGATATATTTAAACACATAATTACAGAAACAGGGTAGACTGGCACAGAAGCAGAGAAACAGACCAAAGGGTGAGGGGGACGCCCCCAAGCTGATGGTGCCCACGGCCGGGGGGGCGGGGACTGCGTGGGCTACAAAAGCATCAAGTCCCCAGAGAAGGAAAACTGATGGTAGAGAAACTGGCTCACCAGATGAAGTTGAATCCGACCATAAAATAATCCAAAGGAAGTAAACCTCTAGATGGGAAATGTAAAAAAGTTCATTAAAAGCATATGGGGCCATGGCTTTATGCCCTCACATAAAGCATTTTTTAAAAATGAGGTTCAAAGCTGGACGTAGTGGCACACACAGGTAATCCTCAGAAGGCTGAGGCAGGATTGCTGCGAGTTTGAGGCCAGCCTGAGCTATACCATGAGACCCCATCTCCCTGTTCAAATCTTACAAGCCTGAAAAGGAAAAATACGTCGCGCTTAACTACACCAAAATGAAGGCTGCGCGTTCAGTGAGGGGAGATGATGACGAGGTGAGACGTCCCCTGAGAGGTGATGAAGGAAGGGACTGCTGGACATGACAGCGGAGGAGGAGACCCCAGGGCCAGGAGCTACATCTGCCCCGGGGTGAGGCAGGGCCGCATCAGAAGAGTGGCAGGAAGTGCACTGTGACCGAATTGACTCTTTCAGGTCAAGACTTTTACTGGGGCAGGGTGTTTAATAACCAAAGTAACTGAACACTGTGAATTCTGATCAGGATGATGTTTGGGTGAGGAAGGAAGATTTGACACAGGGCCTCTGGGGCAGAGATTGCAAAGAATGAAACTATTCAGCCAAAGAAACTGAAATTCCTGCATAAGCAAATCTAGATGGAAATATTTAGCACAGTATCACGTATGCAAATGAATACATAGCACACTATGTATTGTTCAAAGATAGAGACATCTTTAAAGATGTACAGGAAATCGTTTGAGTGGATAGATGCTCTTTTCTGTGTGGTACTGGGGATCGAACCCAGAGCCTCCCACATCCTAGGTGAGTGCTCTACCACTGAGCCACATTCCCAATCCTTTTTCAGAAATTTTATTTTGGGACAGGCGCTAAATTGCCCAGGCTGGCCTCCTGCCTCAGCCTTCTGAGTAGCTGGGATTGCAGCGTATACCACCACACCCAGCCATAGATCCCTTTTAGGAGAAGGGAACACGAAAGATGCAGACAAAATATCAGGCCAGTGCTAATCAAATCAGGAACTGCAGTGTGAAGGTCTGTGCCTAAACAAATGATTGAGGAGACCCTGGAGGCCCAGCAACTACAGAGCACTCAGAAAGAGAACAGGAGAGTGACATCGGTGGACATGGAGGTTTTCTTACTGCAGTGAAATAAAACCAGAACTCAGTGACAAAATACGACCCACCCCAGCCATGGAATCTAAAACTCAATTTTCGCAAATGTTAAGTAAAAATCAGATTTAAAATCTATAATTAGAATGTAGAAACATAAGAACACCGCATATTATAAAGCCCATGGGATATAGATCTAGACTGCACA